AAAAGAACAGATCATCAATGATGCTTCATACTCATTTATTATGCTAGACATGAATTATGAATTCGGGAATCATAATGTAGAGTCACATTCAACTTTCAGTAAAAACAGTTAAAAATCTGATCATTTTGGGAAAAAGCATACATAGAAACAGGCAATATAGGTCTTGTTAAAACACACTTTGCTATGCTGGGACCACGTTATAACAAGTGGGTGTGAAAAATGTGATATATATAGTATATCACATAATACAAAATGTGGGTATAAAATCTTTCTGCTTCTAACTTTGTTGAATTCAAGCTCACTCTCCCTCCTACCATCTTACCTGTTGCTGGTGCAGTTCCAACCTCCTTCTCTTTTTTTGGTTCTGTGTGAAAAGTACAAGCACATTTTTAAAAATATCTTTAAAAAATGCTTTATTACATGACAAGCAATGGTGGGGAGGGAGGAGAGAAGAAATTAATGACAACAGAACAGATCATCAGTGATGCTACATACTCATTTATTATGCTAGACATGAATTATGAATTTGGGAATCATAATGTAGAGTCACATCCAAATTTAGTATAAGTAGCTGACAAAGCTGATCATTTTGGGAAAAAGTAAATACAGAGATGCAATACAGATTTTGTTAAGATGTACTTAGCTATGCTGGGATCACGTTATAACATGCCAGTGTAAAAGTGAGTGTAAAATGTGGGTCACTTCATTGTAGACCCCAACAAGGGACAGTCTTTAAGGAAGTTCAACCCGTGTAGTTAACTAGTAAGGACAGTTTTAGCAGAGTTTGGGTGGAGACTTGTTTTAGGAACAGGACGTCAGTATTATACAATGAATATGAAATATGGCATGACAAGGGAAACTTTATAGTGGCCCAGTGACAGCTGCTGATCTGAAGAGCAGAAGGGAAAGGTTATGTCTGTAATGCCTGCAGGTTCTCGGTGTACTCAGTGCTGGCAAAAATAAGTCTGTATGTGCAAGAAGGAAACATAACGAAGAAGAAGCAGCTCTTCAGAAGAATGTCACACATTTAACACAGATTGAAACAAAACTAAATTTGAGCTTGCCCCTGTTTGAACTAAGACAGCCCTGAGCCTGTTTCATCTATTTAAAACACACAGAGATACTCCTCCATACGATGTAAGGGTTTGGACTGTGTGAATCTTGTATTCTTAGCTGGACAAAGAGCTCCTCTGAGCAGCTAGATTTCTCAAACCACCCTCCTGAAAATAATCTCCGGAGCAGAAGAGCTTTATATCCCCTTATAAATTCCCATGCAAAAAATATCACCAGCAACTGAAGCACCATTCAGTTCCTGCTTTCACATTGGCCAGGCTGGTCTACAGTGACCTCCCACCCCCTGCTTTGCACCACATGGTCAATTAAAGGAACCTGCCTTAAATCACATATTGTCTTGGGAGGTTCTTAAAGGATTGTCTGATGGTTCAGAATAGTGGTTATATCTTATTTTATTGTTCCCTGGACTTTATTTTATTTTCTATTTGGCTGTAAGCAACCTGAATACAAGGAAACATTTTCTGCTAGAGGTTCTGCACTACCTCTGGTATGGTGCATTTGCACCTAGCTATCAGTAAGTATTTGATGGATAGCCCTGTATCCTTCTGAAGGGTTAGAGCAGACAGAGTAAACAAACTTATGGTTACTGGAGTTGGGAGAAGGGGGTAAGAAGGGATAAATCAGGTGTTTGAGATTTGCAAATATTAACTACTACATATAAAACAGATAAAAAACAAATTTCTTCTGTTTAGCACAGAGAACTATATTCAAAATCTTGTAGTAACCTATACTGAAAAAGAATATGAAAATAAACATATATATGTATATATGTGACTGAACCATTATGAATATGAACATGAATATATGTATGTATATGTATGAGTGAAACATTATGCTGTACACCAGAAACTGACACACTGTAACTGACTACACTTCAATTAAAAAATAAAAATAAAATAATGAAGGGTTAGGGCAGAGTTGTGCATATGGTAAACATCTCATGAATAATTCTTGAATGGATATGAGTTTCTCATCTGGTTCAAGGAGAAGAGTGATGAGAGAGAGCACTTTGGGGTCTTCATGGGAAAATGCACAGAATTCTGGTTGCCTCCACGCTGGGGGCCATTTGGCTAGGCAGACAAATAGTCTGGACATTCTACTTGGGCTTGCCATGCTCCCAATTCTGTTCTCTTCCTTAGATGTTTGTGGACGTAAGAACATACTTCACCTGTGTGTGTTGCTGGGTACCACCTCTACCTGTCAAGGAGTGTGCTGGAACTTGTTATTGCTTGTTTTTTGTTGCCATCTGCTGGACAGCAGGGTGCTAAGGGCTGGAGAAGTTGACTGGTATTGAGCCTCAGAACTCCCCTAGGAGTTTCCGGAGGTGCTGGATGGTGACTTCGTTCAAGTAAGGAAAGGGGCGCTCATCTTCCAGGACTAAGGCAGGGTGACCCCACTCTCCCAAGAACAAGGTAGGCTTTGTCTGCCATTTGTTCTTTGTGAAAAAAACACTGCAAATCCTTCAGCCCCCACAATGCTAAAATATGGGTGTAACAATCATTTTTGGAGAACTTCAAAGGTTTTATAAGTATCCTATGTGCCATCCAAATCAGATTAACTTAGAAGAAAGTTACATAAACAAAACGTATTGTTATTATCACAAACCTGTCACCACGGTGGTTACACAACTTCTCCACAGGAGATGAGCTTTAGCTCACAGCTTCAATGGAGGACAAATGATGATGGGATGGATGTTCTGTATTTACAGCCCACACACAGAAAACAATGTTTTTACTCACCTTCTGGGGGTGGAGCTGGGGCAGGGGCCAGCACTTCATTTTCTAGAAATGAAAAGGGTGATGGAAATGTTAGTCTCGTTTGTCCCAGAGAAAAGCTATTTTCCACAGCCCCAGGCTGTGCTCAACTCCAGGCAGCCGTCTTCCCTGGGCTGACAAGAGCAGTGGCAGGAAAGGCATCAACCCAAGAACCACTGTCTTTTGGTATATGGTGTGAAGTGAGGATCTAAATGTGGTCAGAAGATATAGAGATTTCCAGGAGAGGGAGCAGTGTAGTGATGGACAGAGCGTGGATCCAATGGGGTCCACGTGTCCTTCCAAGTGTCCATCCACCTGCTTAGGCAGCAGGCAGGGTGTTTAATAGCACTGAGCCTGTTTCCCTTCCTGGAAGGAAGGACACAGCGACACCTATCTCATAGGCACAGGGTTGCTGTGAGGATGAGATAAGACAAAGAGTGCCAAGCATGTCCCTTAGAGCCCAAGGTACCTGTAAATGATAGCCCACTTGCCCCAGACAGCAAGGGCACTGCAGCATCTCCGACATTATCCTGCCCTCCTGAGACATACTTTCTGAATGATGGTGAGACCGAAGTCCTCGGGCTTTGCAGCGCTTCATTTGATCACAAGGCAAACCGCTGTTCTCTGGGAAACAGAATCAACCCCACTCCCAGTCTCACAGTCATTTCTGGACATGCATATGCCTGGAGTCGATTTTCACCTACATTTGTCTAAAATAATCAGAGCTCTGGTTTTGAGGTTTCATACCTGCCTTTGGATATCCAAAATTATGGAGCAGTCTGGCAGTGAGGTCTGTTAAAGAAGCTTCTAGGAAAGAATATCCTATGTCCAAGTAGCTAAAAGCATATCCCATAACCCATGGGCATAGAATTTCCCCTGCTGAACCCCCACAGGTGCCCCAGAACGGGAATCAGTGACGAGTATGTCAACCAGTCGCTCCTACTTCTGGCCAGGAAGAGGCCATTAATGAAGGGGATCTCTTTTTATTTTCTGTTTGATAAGTATCAAAGAAAAGTTTTTGTATTATAGGCACATTGTGGGATCCCCGGAGCCTTATCTCTGTCCAGATCTAGGATTTTCCACAGTTTCCCATAAGCAGCTCTTTCCAAGCAAAGACTTCACGAAAAGCAGTTTAGCCCCGCAGTCGTCCCTGTGTGCAGACCAAGCAGCCCACTTTAGTCTGGGCAGGCTGGGATGAGACAGGAGAAACAGCCCGCACTGCAACAGAAATCAAGAGAGGAGAGATACAGGGCTGCCCAGAATAGCAATGTCGTCTTCTTTTAAAAAATTATTATTACTATTATTGAAGTACAGTCAGCTTGCAATGCTGTGTCAATTTCTGGTGTGCAGCATCACAGTTCAGTCATGCATGTACCATACATACATTCCTTTTTATTTTCTTTTTCATTATAGGTTACTACAAGGTATTGAATATAGTTCCCTGGGCTATATAGAAGAAACTTGTTGTTTATCTATTTTATATACAGTAGTTAGTATCTCCAAATCTCAAACTCCCCATTTATCCCTTCCTACCCCCTTAGCAACATCTTCTTTCATCACTAAGTTTTGGTGCTGGATATAAACTCCAGTTTATTGTTTAAAAACACACGATTACTGTATTTTCATTCAGATGACCACGAACAAGTATTAATATACTCATTACTAATGAGGAAGAAAATATAACCAAAGGAGAAAAGAGGTATCACCTTACAGACTGGCAGGATGTGATGTGGTTTGAACATACAGTGAAAGCACAAGTGTCCCCGAGATGACACACCAGAAACGCTTTCATGTCCACCACGTCATGGAAAGTATCTTTCCTGCCAGTGTCCACGAGGAGATGAAACCCTCAAAGCATTTTATTTTCAGAGATCTGAGTGCAGAAATGAAAATCTAACATTGACTTCTCGGCTTGGGGTGAGCTGCTGCAGCACATGGATATCAGAACACAGTGAGGAGCCAGTTTCTTTGACACTCTGTCTTTTGGATGGGGCCACTGTCATCCAGTGCCCACGGGCCTCTTCCTGGCTCCCTTTAAGACAAGTTTCTCTGCCTTCCAATCTCTTTGTCCCACCGCTGCGGGTCTGCTTACACCACCACTGAGTGCCGTTCTGTTATTCTACCTAAGAGGGTTTCTGCTATCTACTTGGTTAGTTCTGCGCTCTCCAAGTCAACAGTCAAAGTCAATGTCGGCGGGCACCTCTTCCCTCTCTCTCTCCTTACTGCACCCCAGTGGCCCCTCTGCTCTAGAGCTGGCTTCTCTTTTTACCTTCTGACCTTTCACTGGGAAGGGTGATGATCTTCTCCCGAACAGACCCTTTGTTTTCCCTTTTCATGTGGCTGTGTCAGACAGACCTAGTTCGACTCTAGGCCTTATGAGCTGTATATTCGGGGACAAATCTTTAATCTTTGTCAGTCCTGGTGTCATCTGTGAAATAAGACTACTAAGATAAATGATCTCTTAGGGAGCCAATCCTATGTAAAATGCAGAGCACAGTCCTTGGCATGTAGACAGAGCCCTATGATTTATAGAAATAACTGTTAACATTCTTTGGCAATCTTGGTCTGTCTTTTTTGACATTTCTCTTAAGACTTCCAGAGCTGATTATTCCATTCTGTTCCCCTCCCTTATTCTCTTGGCATTCAGGACCACATCATAATACACCTTTTTATTCACTAATTATTTTAAAATTATTTTCCAGTTGTCTCCATATATTTGTGTTTCTTGTCCCTCCCAACTGAACAAAAACGGGGATCTTTCATTCTTTTCCTATCTCCCGGGTACCACATTTTATTGCTGCAAACACATTATATGCAGAATGAATTGATGAGAAAGAATTAAGAAGGGCTTCTATGGTGATTGCATATGGACTATCAAATTGGCCACGCTTTCCCAGCATCTGTGTAAACAAAGGCCCATTTTCTAAGGGAAGTTGTGGTTGCTTAAAATCCTGTTTGGAAAGTAAGGCCAGGGGTGAATTTTAATCAATTAAATAAAAGAGAACCTTCCTGGACACAGAAACTGTCGAAGTGCCCTGGATGTGAATTCCTCATTTCCATTGTATCTGTAGCTCCAGTGTTCAACGTAACAGCCAGCCCCCAAATCAAGCCAAAGTGAGAATTTAAAGGGCTTAGTTCAACTTCCAGCAAATGCACAGAACGTCCATCATCAACGGCCAACTGCATCAGATAGTCAGAACTACAGAAATATTATAGGATATTACTGCTGGGACACTTTTAGGATGGTTGTGGCAAGTAGAAGTAGGAAAATGCAAGCCTGCCTGGTGAATAGGTAGAGCCAGAACTGTTCCTTCTTAAAATCATAGAAACTCTATCGCTTTACAGCCACTGAAGGAATAAATAAATAACAATGGCGTATTGGCCCCCACTGCATGCAGGACCCAATATACATTCGCTTTTATAATCCTTCCGACTTTATAAAGTCAGTACTCTAATTATCCCCATTTTGCAGATGGGAACTGAGACCCTGCAAGGTTCCACAGCCCACGAAGGGTGGAGCCAGTGTCTGCCCCAGGTGGGCCTGACTGGGAACCTGGCCTGGGCAGGCAGAGGCTGCATCTCCCTTCCCAACTCCTCCCCCTATGGAGGCAGCAGTGGGCAGATGGATTTTCCAGAGATCTTGCCGCATTTTTCCTGCTGAATTCACTGGTCTTACTGTCATGGCCACATAGCATCATGCGGCTGTTTTGCTAAGGAACGGGGAGTGGCAGGCGCCCCAATCTCCTCCTCTCTGCAATGGACATAATAGCAGAAGCTATCTCAAGCATTGTTGGCAGGAATGAATGAGTGAATGAGTCCTCAGGGGCAGGGAATGGGGTAGACATCTATAAGCTTTCTCTTTCTTTTTCATGGTTTCATCACTATTACCATGATTTCACTCTGACACACCTGGGAGAATGACACTCACGTCTTTCCTCACAGGTCACCTGCTAGGATTTGCCTTATTTCTAGGTCTGTGGGATGTGTCATGTTGGAACATGCTTGGAGCTGGGGGTGGGGGCTAAGGAAGCCTCTGGGAACTGAACAGAGGAGGTGGGCCCCTCACTCTCCTCCAGTCAAAAGGTAATGATAATTGATTTTGATGAGTTTTACTTGCATTATAGAGTTCGTACAATGTAAATCAATTGATCAATCAATCCTCATGGGACCAAAGGGATAAAAAAGATGAACTCTCAATAGTTTTCAAGGCATTTGAAACAAAGAATTCCAGCTGTGCTAAACCTGGAGAGAGGGGGCCCAGGAGTGGTGAAGCCCAAGCAGCACATGACTTAGACTGAAAATGAACTCCTGTAGGAAAGTCTCAGAGCCTCAAGGTATCCACCCCCACAGTCTTTGCCTTAAAAGTCCTGCTTAGGCATCTTACTCTGACTCTACATTTGTCTCTGACAGGCTCTGTCATGCCCAGCTTTGCCCACGCCTCTAGAAATTGTATACCTGTTCCCCAAATTCATTAGCTGCCTCTGTAACAATAATTCTTTCACAGCAATTTCCACAATACCCCACTGAATGGGGACTGTAGGAGGAAACACCCACGCAACCAGAATTCATTGAACGCCCATTATGAATTTGACAAGGATGGGGTTCATAAAAGAGGCTAAGATGAGATGCCTGTGTTTAAGAATCTCATGGGTCCATTAACAGCCCCCGTCTATCAGTGTAGTCACAACACCAGGGGGCTTTGCTCTCTCAAAACATTCGAGACTCAGCACCTCCACAGCCCCTGTAGCGCCTCTGAAACTGCTATGCACCTGTGAATCATCTAGGGATTCGGTCCAGTGCAGATTCTGACTCTGGGGGTCTGGGAAAAGGTCCCAGATTCTGCCTTTCTAACAGGCTCCCTAGTGATGCTGATGTTGTAGTCCAGAACCCACACTTCGAACAAGAAGGCTCAGACTGTGCCCTAAATATCACCAAATCCTCTCCAGTTTCAAATGTGACTGTGAATGGCAAAGGGTTTACAGGACATGGGAACTTCTCTCTTTGATCACAAGCCTCTTGAGGACAAG